ACGGTTGATTTAACCATTTGTCAAAGCTTTGTATGGGATTCCCCAGAAGACCCCTTCTATTACTATCTGCTTGTAGTTTAGGAGATCCATTATAGAGGTACTGACTCTCTGTGATGGAGAAAAAAAACACCATAACATATTTTAACAACATGTACATTTCTAATGATGATAGCAAGCAAAAAAAAATAATTAAAAAAAAAAATGGATGTTTTGTTAGACAGGAGTCTGATTGAGCTATCGTCAAGTGCCATCTAATTGTTTCTGTTGAACAGGTTTAGAGAAGGGCTTGATGATCTCATGAAGATCAGAGGGACATCTTGTTTACTAAGGTGGTTCTGTGGCCTCTCTAGGGTACTTTGATGCATTGCTTGTAGACGTTGATATACTACTATTCTCATACTCACAAAATGCTTTTATACTATTTTATACAGTCAGTAATAATTGCCCTCTGATAACTAATTATTAATTGTTTTTGTTCCCTCCACATGATTCCTCTTCGAGTATTTATTTCACACCATTATTAGTAACAAGAATTGCCACTACAGTTCATTGTTTCCAGACAGCTGTGAGTTCCACCTGGTTATGGGAGGTAGAATAAAAGTCCTTCTTGGCAGTTTGTAGAACTCAAATATTGCTAAAAACAGACAAGATCCATTGCTAACCTGTGTAATTAGTTAATTGATTTCATCTGGAAGCATGACCTGTACAAGCTGTTGAACCTCCTAAAAGCATGATGTTGATATAGTTGTATGGCAAACGCAAGTTCACCTCTTGAGACAAATTCTAAATTGTACATACTAAAAAGTTATGACCGATACATAGCGTAAATAATAACTGGAGAACATTGTGTATGCAAAATAGTTAATCAACAATTTATCATTAATATTGCTTCTTTGTAGAATTTACTATCGTAAATCCAAGCATACAGTACATGTTTATTCACAAAGAAAAAAAAGAGCCACTGTGCATTTTTAGAAATATATATATATATTTTAAAACAGAAGAGTTAAAGAAAAAATGTGAAATTGGAGAAAACCCTGAACTTAACAATTTTTGTCTGTATTTTGCAGTATTGGCCACTCATCACAAATCAATCGGTAAAGGTCAATTGCGACTTCCCCAGATTTTTAATATTATGTTTACTTCTTCCCTAAATATGTATATGTGAGGTGTGAAAATTAAACTTTAATGTAGAAATTCATACCAAAACTGGGCACCTCCATCTTAGCTCCCTGTCAATCAATATTATAAACACTTTCTTTTGCACCTGGCATCCAGCCTTGAGAATGCTCATAGAAAAAAAAAAAAAAAGAATTTCTCCTTTTAATTAGCAATGTTTGCCGTCACGCTGCCATGTCTGACTGCACTATGATGTAATTTACTAAACAGTAATTTAAAGTTAAAAGAAAATTGCGTATCTCATTAAAATGAGGTGTAAACAAGCAATGGGTGGTTTTCAATGTTTTATTCTGTAGTTTAAATCTACAGTACCTGAAGCCTATCTTCCAGAGGTAAAAATAGCTATTAAATTCCAACTAGGGGCCTCTTATATGAGCAAAACTTGGAAAATCACACCATAAGAGCTTAATCTATTTTGGCAGTTTTGGAGTTCCAAAAAGTGTTCATTAGCAGCTAACGAGCACTGTTTGAGAGCAATATGTACGCACATAAGCACACATTTAACTTTCCAGTTCCAGAAACATATGCAATGCATTGCTTATTAAATCTGTTCTGGAAAGGTTAGGTTATCTTTTATAATTATTTGTTCATCCGTAGCATAATTGAGTTTGACTTTTTGGAATGGTGCTGTACATGGGTTGAGAGTGAGGATTCAATTATTTTAATAAAAACAAAACAAAAACACAACAAAAACATGTTATTGCAACTTACTTTAAAGAGGCCCTATCTACCAGAAATGACAATGGGTCAGAAATCAACACATATAAACTCGATGGTGATTATTCTTAAACTTGTTCAACCTATTGGTCATGTCTGCAGAATACTTGAAGATTTCAGGGATACATTAGAATGAGTTGTACATATTATAAAACATGGCTGTAATTTGTTATATTTGTTTTATTGCTGTAAAAAACAAAAAAAGCTGTAGACATTGGCAAGCACTGGATACATGTACAAAAGATTGTATTTTCCTGCCCGTCAATATTAAAAAAAATCATAAAACAGAAGCCCTATCACTGCCCCACTCCCCAATCTTCCCAAATTATTATTTCATAAAGATAAAACCTTTATAAAATACTCATTATGACTGTGTTGGAATTTCACTAAAATTTAAACCCAGACAAAAGATATAATGAGACAAATTAGGGACAGCTTTATGTCTGTGTTTTTCTTGATAGAAGGCAGAGCTACCATCATCAAGCTTGTCATTTTCCCCATCCATCACTAGTGAAATGAAGATCTTTCTATGGAGAATTCTGTTGTCTCGAGGCATCCTCCATAATCCTCAATGCTATACTCTTGCGCATGTGCAAGCATACAGCACTGATGTTGGGTCCTAACAGCTGAAGTGACAACATCTGAAGGAGAGCAACAGGAAGAAGATGGCGGCGCTCGCTAGGGACAAGTTCAGGTAAGTAACTCTCACCTTTCCCTACAAATAATGCAAAGCCCCAGGCAGAAATAGCCGCTTTAGTGGTATAATACACTGATTTAATACTATTTGGCCCTTTTTAATTTAGATGGTCAGTTGCCAAATGTAAAATTCATGGAAGACACAAGTTTGGGCTGACAGGGTACACTTACTGCTTTGCTTTATGAATTAAAGGAGGAGAATTTTCGAAGAGATGGAATATTTTTGGTGGTAAGTGTGGAATATATAAATAAAGTGTAGGATAGTGAGTTTTTATTGAACATATAACATTTGTATCACACTCTTTCCAACAGTTTTACATTAAATGAAGTAGTGGGATACTGGTCTTTTCTTAAAGGGATACTGCAGTCACTATAACCATTTCATCTCTTTGAATTGGTTATAGTGCCTGGAGTGCCCTGGCACTGTCCCTCCATTCAGTGTTGCACCATGTTTGTGCAGTCTGCCACAAAATAAGAGTCCCTGGCCACCCACAGTCCAGCCCCTTCTGTATGCGTAGCTAAGGCAGAGATTACACACTTCCATGTTGTCATACCCATTCATACCATCAGTTGGAGCTCTGACAGGCTAAAAGCAGTCAGCTGACACTCTCAGCCAATCACAGCTGCCCATTTCCGCTCAAGCTAATACTTCTTATTAGCCAAAGCAGCACAGTGGGGATGGACTGCCGGGGACTCTTGTTTAGCATTAAAACATTTAAAACTGTTTAATGCTGGAAGAAATGATGGTACCAGGGGACTCCAGACACTATAACCAGTTTAATGAGATGAAGCAGATACAGTGCCTACGGTGTCCCTTTAATTATTATATGTCAGTGTGTTTCACATTAAATAAGTCCTCAATGTATGCAATGTCTTAAGTGAGCTGAATGATTCTTATTAATGCCTCCGTGTTATCACTGTTAACATCAAATAAAAAATACAGAAATAGTGCCAAAATGCGATCAGAACAGAATCTGAGACTTTCCTCCTAGCATGGAAAATAAACAGAAAATAGCATATTAAGTATATTACTGATCCTTAGAGCTAGGTAGGCTTTCCAAAGTTCCTAAAGCAAGGTGATATAATATTAATCAGACAAAAAGCCAGGGTGAAATAGTTTAGAAATCACAGAACAGAAACTAGGAGCCAAGGTCAAGGATAATCCAGTAATACAGTACTGTAACAATAAAAATACTGTAACTTACTATTAACTGAACAAGTTTATATGAATCACAGTTTAACCCCTGAAGGTAAGAGGGCGTCCGGACACTCATACCCCATAACAATTTAAATGAGCTTGATTTGTTATTGTGGTGGGCATGTTCCTTTAAATATTGTTTCATAGCATTGAGCAAAGATTCTTACATCAATGTTTACATTATTATATTATGTATTTTTATATTCCTGTTTCTTTTATTTTTTTTCTAATCAACGTTTTTATTATTTTATATCCTCCCTGCAATGGATGTAAGCAGGTTTATAATTCAGACTATATATATTATTTTTTTTACAGAATTTCTGCAATCAAGGTTCGGTAGGTAGCATGAAAATTAAAGTGTGTTGGTTAAAGATTCCAATGATATCTTGGGCACTTGCAATTAAAAAACAAATTTAAAAACCCAGGTTTCACAATGATAATGAGATAATTGAAGAAAGTAGCTGCATATTCCAATCTAGTCCTACAAAGACACATGCACCATACTGGACCTACAGGTAGTAAGTTAATATGATAAGTCTAGCTTGGCACCTCCTTCTCGCCCATTATGTTCAATATATCCTATATATTACTAGCATAATTATTCTATTTGAGATGTGTACATCACTGCCTGAAAATGGATGGCTCACAGATATACAGCACAAGGAGCTTCAAAGACGTGAAGATATGAAGAGTAACTTGCTACAAGTTTTCTCAGATAAAACAGAGCTAATCAGAATAAAATTCAGATCTCGCCCCATGCAGTCACCCAGCAAGCAGCAGACATTCACTCCATACTATGTAACCCCACCACATGTCCTGCCCTCATCTCAAATAGTAGAAAAATGTGAGTAATCTTGGATTATAAACTCTCCCTAACATCCCAGTCAGGGTAATCATAATAGCTGCTCTGAGAATAGTGTGTATTTCGAGTATGATAGCACATGTTTTACATAATAAAAGACCTGAGAACAGCAATCAAATCACTGGTACCATCATCCATGGCTCTAGAAGTTTGAACCGTTTCTCGGATATGTAAATGTACCACTTATCCATAAAATTGAGAAAATTACACTTGCTTTCATTGTAGAAAAAAGCCATTTCAGCTCCTCACAATGAAGCACAATTCAAAAGTGTTTTACTATATTTACAGGTGAAATCCACCTTTTACTTTTCCTGTTCAGTCATCCTCACCTGCTGTTACATCAGACAAGTCATACCAAAACAAATTGGTTAAACATCTTCCCTACTGAGTTCAGGACTCTAGGGCACTCTGTTTCTTTGTGTATCAGAAGAATCATAGGCCAATGTAATTTTAGAACACAACCAAAGACTTGTCTCTTGACAGGGTCACTAAGCACCATAGCCACTGTAGCTTATTGAAGTCATTATGATGCCAAGCTACTAAGTCTTTCAATTCAATCATTTATTAAACTGACAAGACAGGGTTTTAAAGCAGAGCTCGTAGCTCTGACTTGAAACCCTGTCACTCAGATTGCAAGGGAAACATTCTTCCTGGCTTTCACATCAGTGAGTTGGTTCATCAGTGCTGACACAGAGGGACTTAAAGGTGCTAGCCCAGAGGGACTTGAAGGTGCTAGCCCAAAGAGTGTCCTAGACAAGTCACACTATAGACTTGCAAATGCATGCTCCTATCTACAAGCCAATCTAACATCAGTGCACTATGCATGTTGAGAGCTAAAAAATATAATTCCCAGCTCTCTGATTGACGGACCTTGTTGGCAGAGCTATGAGCACGGTTTTAAAGTCCTATTTTGCCAGCCAGACAAACAGTTAAAGTGAAAAACTTCAGCAATGGTACCCCTGCACCATAGCCACTTCCTCCCTTTACCAGAGCTTCTGTTGCCATTTCACTTCCAGTGCAGAAACTCCTTTCATAGCAATGCATCATGTTTATGCTCTATATAAGCTCTGTAATAGATTGAGCTCACATTCTGTGTATGAACAACAAAGAAAGATTATGAAGTGGAATTAAAATTAAAGCATTTTGGCTAAATTACAAGAATCAACAAATGACAGATGTTCTTTAGGATCAACATAGATACAAGAATAAGATGTTTATTGAAAAAAAATAAAATCATGATTTCAAATCTAAACATTCAATGAAAGAGACAAAAATTATTGAAACCCACAATTCTTTCAAATTAAAATATAATAATAATAAAGTAATGTAGAATGTAGGGTTGTAGCCAGGGCAGTTCAGACTTGAGGTTCAGTTCAGGCTCATAAAAATGCCTATTTATTTCAGAGCAAACATTAGCTGTTTATGCTATCAGCAGAGGCAGAGGTTAGTATGGCTGACACATTTAAACATTTTATTTAACAGTATAGCATTAAACTTTCCATTAATTGCCAGGAATGTGATTATTATTGTCATGTATTTGTAGTCCATAATATAGGGAGTGCAAAAGGTTACCTACCCCTAAAGTAAGCTTTAGATATTTGGCATGCTTATTCACAAAGTAAACTACTACTGCCTACTAAAATATACTCAAGTATAAGCCGACCTGAATATAAGCCGAGGCCCCTAATTTTACCACACAAACTTATTGACTCGAGTATAAGACTAGGGTGGGAAATGCAGCAGCTACCGGTAAATTTCCAAATAAAATTAGATCCCAATAAAATTACATTAATTGAATATTTATTTACAGTGTGTGTATATAATGGATGCAGTGTCTGTGTCTGTGTGTTTGTGTAGTGTGTATATAATGGATGCAGTGTAGTGTGTATATAATGAATGCAGTGTGTGTGTGTGTGTAGTGTGTGTATATAATGAATGCAGTGTGTGTGTATATAATGCAGTGTGTGTGTTTGTATGAATGCAGTGTGTGTATATAATGCAGTGTGTGTGTTTGTGTGAATGCAATGTGTGTGTTTGTATGAATGCAATGTGTGTATATAATGCAGTGTGTGTGTATATAATGCAGTGTTTGTGTATATAATGCAGTGTTTGTGTGTTTGTGTAGTGTGTGTAAACTGGGTGGGAGGAGGGCATTTTTATTATTTAAATTTTGTAAAATTTAATTTTAATATCATTATTTTAATATTTTTTTAATATTATTATTTTGATTATTTTGATATTTAATTGTTTTTTTTTGTCCCCCCTCCCTGCTTGTTACCTGGCCAGGGAGGGGGGCTATATGAGTCCCTGGTGGTCCAGTGGCATGGGCTGTGCAGTGGGGGAGCCGGCAGCAAGCGTTTACTTACCTTTGCAGCAGCTCCGTTCAGCAACCAGTGTAAATCTCGCGGTCTGCGTGCCACGCGGAGCGTTGCCACGGTAACCCGTGGCAACATTTTGACGGCCACGGGTATCGCGAGATTTACACTGGGAGCTGGAGGAGCTGCAGGTAAGGTAAGTAAACGCTTGCTGCCGGCCCCCAACAGGACCGCCGGGCTTGTAATGAGCCTGGCGGTCCTGGTCTGTATTATGGCAATGTAAGTTGCCATAATACAGATACTGACTCGAGTATAAGCCGAGGGGGGCTTTTTAATATTTTTTTATATAATCCTCTTTTATTTTGTTAACTGTATTTAGTTAGTAGTATTTAGCGAATAAGCACACCAAATGTCTAAAGCTTTACACTAGGCCAGGCGTAGGCAACCTTCCACACTCCAGATGTCGCGGACTACATCTCCCATAATGCTCTTACAGCCAAAATGCTGGCAAAGCATTAGGGGAGGTGTAGTTCACAACAGCTGGATTGCCCAGGTTGTCTACTCCTGCACTAGGGGTGGGCAATCTTCAGCATTCCAGATGTTGTGGACTACATCTCACATACTTGTCTTAAAGCCATAATGCTGGCAAAGCATCAGGGGAGATGTAGTCCACAACACCTGGAGTGCCTAGGTTGCTGTAATGAAAACATTAATATCATATTGATCACTGCTTCCTATGTTGCAAAATTATTATAACGACTTTCATGCAAGTATTATTCTGTGCAGAAGTCTTGTGGTGCATGACTCCTGTGTCTTGAGCATCGGGCCAATGCTTCAAGATAGAGTGACATCATGTTCTCTGAGGAAGCGGCACGTCCATACTCATACTACTGCGCATGACACTAGTTATGTAAGCTGTTACTAAAAATCCTATAAAGGGAGCTTTGCGTAGGGGATTTCCCAATTAGGACTCCTGGAAAGGCTGACCAGGCTTCCCAGTCTCAGAGTGCAGACCTGGATGTAGATTTCTGCGTGTTAATCGGCAATGTATTCTTCCTTACTTCTTGTAAATATACTTTAATTATACGTTTGATAAATGTAATAAAATGTATTTTACCCATGTTGGTGTGATTTTTTACATTCCAAATATAGCAAAACAGTTACCTACCTCTGCTTTACACCAATACATGATTATTCACAAATACATGACATATTACATGATATTACTCAGCCCCAAATAATTTATAATTTTCACAAAAGTTAAAATGGATCCTTGTACCTCTAAGAAGGAAATGTGAGAGTGAGAAATAGAGGGTGTTTTTCTGATACTTAATCAGAACCTGACAGACACAGTGACAGCACAACTGGCAGTTTGTCTGTGACATCCTACACCCAGATGTTGTCCACCAGCTCTAACATCTCTGCCACCACTACCAGCACACATACTGTGTCTGCTCCTAGTTGCCTAATGGCTGGAAGTCAGACAAGAACCACCTAGGAAGAAGAACTCAGTGGTCTTCTCCAGGTAATTTCTGCTGGTCTGCCTCAATATCTACAGAAGCAGCAGCAGCTGTGTGAGCATTTTTTTTTAAGCATCAGCAGCAGGCAAACCCAGGATAAGAAAATATGTAGGGCCCACCACTATTCGGAAGTTATTTCAGTCTGTTTCCTGAGTAAGGAGGACAGGGAAGGAAACTGATGTTGCATTTGGGAGTTGGGATGATATAGGAGGTTATGAAGCAACTTTCAGGGATTCTCATCTTAAAACCACCTGCAACATTGTCTGCAACATTGTCTGGATAGATTAAGACAGAGAGTTCACCACATAGGTGCAAGTTCTCCCCTAGTTCAATTTCAGCTGTGTCCATCTGCATCTTCTCTTTTAGCATTGCAAGTGCCACCAGCACCTCCAATTGTATCAGGGCTTACTGCATATACTAGTATAACAGTCTTTTCATTACCCATCTTGCCAACTCTGCTTCTAGGGCACTCAATAGTAGCAGTGGTACTACCACTACAAGTTCCACAATTAAAATTAGCAGAAGAAAAAGTACCCAGTAGGTAGGTCCAGATATTGTCCCTCAGTCATAATCTCAGAAGAGGAGAAGCAGCCACTCAACGTAGACTGCCTAGTGCTAGATAAAAGGTGCCACCTTCTGGGTAATCGACTTTGGTTTCACAGTAATAGACACGTGAAAAATGGGTATAATGGCGCTCAGCAAAACCAAGTGCAGCTATGATTCACCTTATATAGTGTCACTAACCACAAATTATTCAGACTTGGACAAAACAACCAAAAAATAAAAGTTCATCAGGAATATACAAGTTTCTATGAAAATTTAAACAATAAAATGTCCAAACTAATAATGTTTATTATTAATTATTTTGTTATGTGTCATTCTAAATACGTAATTTATCTATTAACATGTTCCTGTGGATATCAATACCTATAATGAAAATGTAGGCAACACTAGACACATTTCTAAAAAACAAAGTGTATCCATTAATTTCCATGACTGATTCCTAATTATTACAATTTATTGGGATATATACCAAATTAATGAGAAATGGAGAGGAGGTGATTTCCAAAACAATTTGACCTTTACTGAAATTAAATGGATGCTACGACTCGAGACCTTAACACCTGGTGGATAAAATGTAGATTTTGAGATTTGTTCTTTTATTAGAATGTTTTTTTTTAAAACATATTTAAAATATTTTGTTTAATGATATCTTACTCTCCATTGGAATGCCAAAAAGTTTAGATTTTTGTGTAATATTTCACACATGCATGGACTGTTACTAGGAGAAGGACATTACCAGAACTTTGTCCAGAAACAAGATGGCTGCTCAGACTATGTGTATACATTGTATAAAAAAAATCAATAAGCAACACCAAAATAAATGACAAAGAGATATATTCAACCTGTGTACAACATTTCAACCCAAACTCAGGGTCTTTATCAAGCCTAGGTTCCAAAATACAATGTGCAACTTAAATACATGTTCTATGACATTATTACATTATTAAATAGAAGGACTAACTTTTATCATGCCAGATAAAAAGGTAGAAAAGACAAACAATAAACATAGAAAAAAACAAATATGCATAATACACTTAATTGTTTCTTAATCTGAAAAGCACAACATATTAAATACTATATATGCAAAATAATAGCAAATGTGTTTCCTGCATTGTATTACATTGCATGAGAAGTACACTTGTAGCCTTTAACCCCTTGAGGACACATGATGGAAATATTCCGTCATGATTCCCATTTATTCCAGAAGTTGTGTCCTTAAGGGGTTAAAGGACCACTATAGTGCCAGGCACTATAGTTCTCTGAAATGCTATGTTTATAGAAAAAAGGGTTAAACCTAACTGGACCTGGCACCCAGACCACTTCATTAAGCTGAAGTGGTCTGGGTGCCTATAGTGGTCCTTTAAAGGTTTTCAGTGCAAACAAGCTCTTATCTGGATACTATGTAGAAATTCAATCTTTAATTAAATGCCTCCAGTGTATATACCACAAGGCAGGGAACCAAAAAGGCACACTTAGCACCCTAGAAGAAACGAAACAGCAGTATTAGCACATGACGAAAATCATATATACATTACATCAGCGATGTCCAACCCACCGCCATCTTGGCTGCCGGGCGGCGAGGGAGGCAGGAAGCCCTTTACATATTGTGCTCCTCCTGGACAGCTCCATTGTGCGCCCTGCAGAGAGCCAGCCACCGGGATTTGACGTCATGCCAGCATCGGCATCACAACTGGGCGCAAGCAACCTGTGCAGGAAAAGCACAGAGATCTCAGTCCAGCAGAAACCGCTAGCCAACAGGGACAGAGGATCCATTCCAGCCCTCCCAGAGCAAGGTGGACCTGGGTGGACCTCTTAAGTAGTAAAAGTGTATGAATGTAATTTTTGTGTATGTTTTGTCAGTGATTGTGTGTGGGTCTGTGATTGAGAGTGTGTAAGTCTGTGATTATGTGTGTGTGGGTATGTGATTGTGTATGTGTGTGTATCTGTAATTATGTGTGTGTGTAACTGTGATTATGTGTTTGTATGTATGTGATTGTATGTATAGTTCTGTGATTTATTTTATGTGTGTGTATGTATGCAATTGTGTGTATAGGTGCGTGATTTTGTGTGTGTGTGTGTGTGTTTGGGTCTGTGATTGTGTGTGTGTCTGTGATTGTGTGTATATGTATGTTATTGTGTGTATAGGTATGTAATTGTATGTGTGTGTGTGTATGTATATTATTGTGTGTATAGGTCTGTGATTGTGTGTGTATGCATGTGATTGTATGTATATGTCGCTCACTGGTGTGGCTGGCACTCTAGGTGATTTTGGGGGGCAAAATATGCCATCGAAGCTAATCTTTTTGGCTTGTGTTGGGGACAGCAGCGAGGCCACATTGTACCTCACATAGTGTGGTCGTTCTGCAGAGGTGAGATCTTCATGGACCCCTCTGATTTTCAAGTTGTTGCATCTGGAGTGGTCATCTAGCAGTGCGAGTTGCAGGGAGAGTGCTAGCTGTGTATTCTGTACACTGTTGAGGGATGCCTTCAAGGTTAACATTGTTTGCCTTGTGTCCAGTATGTCCTCCTCGGTGGTTCGGACCCTGTCAGTGACCATCTGTACCCCAGCATGTATCTTGACGATATTAGCAGTCAGCATCTGCTTAAAGTCATACAGGAGGTTCTGGATGTCTTGCTTAATGACCAGAGCTGAGAGGTCTGGGAAGCCTGGGGCTGTCTGCTCCGGACCTTGTGTTAAGGGTTGTACCTGAGGGACATTTGGTCTATGATGGTCGGCAGATACCTCTAGTTCCCCTTGAGCCACCATCTTGTGTGGGGTCTGTCTTTTGAGCAAGGCTCCGATATCCTGGGTGTCGTTGGGCATACCTGGTGGTGGTTTTTGCAAGCACCTCTCCATTGCTGTTGGCGGGTCTGGTGTGGTGGAGAGGGGTGCAAATTCCTGCTCCTGTGCACTCTGTGGTGGGGCCAGCCGCAATATGTCATTCAGGCCGAAGCTCGCGGGTATGTAGTAGGCCGCGTGCTGTCTTTTCTGCCAGTTCTGTCCAGATTTTAAAAAGAGCGGCATTTGGCAGTGCCAGGAGCCCCCCGGAGGTGAGTACTGTGCTTGTAATCGTTGGATGGGCTGTGAGGGGTCTTGATTTTTAAGGGATTAATCAGATTTCTGCCAGAGCTGCGCAAGATGGCGTCCATTCAGACCCGTGGTTAAGTCCGGCCCCTGCTCTGGGTGTTTTGAGCTGTTCCCTATCAGTCATGCATGCAGTGCTTCCACTACCTGCCATTTCTCCACCCTGTCTACCCACTGTTCTGCTGTTGGGGCTCTAGTTTGTTTCCTGAGGGCAGGCCCCAGAGACTTGACTGCGTTGACAAGGTGTAGTCAGATGGACTTTTTGACTTTCACTACCGGGGATGGTGTAGAATATAATAATACATGTTCTAGTGCAAAAAGTGGAGTTTTACCTAGAATTTCCATAGTCTTGGCTCTGATTCATATCCAGAAATGGCACTATGCAAGGAAGGTCCCACTAGATGTGTTTCACAGTCCCATCATCCTCACCACATCACCAACAAATTGACTGTACCACTGGAAACACCTTATATAGGAGGTCTGTTGTCATGTACTAATCCACATTTCATTCACATAAGGTGTCTTCCTTCCATTGCTTCTCCAGGTCATTCCCTACTGCCCATAATTTTCCTCCCATACCCGTGTATCCTCAGATACATCTCTCTCCCCATGTCTTACCTTCTTGTATCCATCTAGCCATATTCCCACATTATGCATAATTTCCCTTATACAACCGCTTGCATCTTTCCCCTCATTACGCCTTTGTGCCTCTTTCTCCCCTTGTGTCCATGTCCCTATTTGTATCACTCCTATCCAGTCCACTAACGTGTCTATTAGAAAGCAGTGTGAGAGTCTTGCATACTTTGTGAGGACTCTATGCTAGCATACACTGAACAATGGCATCCTGTGCAGCAAAGTGCAAAAGGAGAGATAAAATGGTGTGGGCCAGTGACGCAAATCAATGAATGAATGCCAAGCTATCTGACAATCAGGCAAGCCAACTGGACCACCAAGGGCAGACCATGCAGAAAGTGCTGTTTTCCCCCATAGCAGCACACTGGGGAAAAAAAGAAGGAATGGGGGCACAGCAGCAGTGCAGCCAGTGTGACCACACCAGGGCCCAAGACAACTTGGGGCCCCTGCAACTTCTCTTTGGAGTGCACAAAGAGGGCCAATGCCGGGGCCCTCCAGGCCTCACCAGACTCCAGTAGTAGATCCTGTTGCCGTAGCTGCACAAGGAGACTTTGCTCCAGACACGTTCCTGCATCGCAGCCCATGTGGGGCTCCTCGAGATGCAGCCACAAGTCTCTGTAATCAGTAGGAGCCAACTCCCATCTGAATAAGAAGTGCTGTGTTTGGTGCTGTATATGTGGCTAGTTTGCTGGCTGTTACCATCCAATGTTAAATAATAATACACTGCTCAAAAAAAATGAAGGAACACTTAAACAACACAATGTAACTCCAAGTCAATCACACTTCTGTGAAATCAAACTGTCCACTTAGGAAGCAACGCTGAGTGACGATCAATTTCACATGCTGTTGTGCAAATGAGATAGACAGCAGGTGGAAATTATAGGCAATTAGTGAGTGTCTTCCGTCCGTCCGTCCGTCTGTCTATCTATCTAATCTGTCTTAGTAGTGCCTTGGTGTTGTGGTCTTCAAATTAAACATTAGGCTTGCACCTCAGGATTCTATTTTTTGTACCATACTAATGACCCTACATGACATTATCAGGGTTATCCACTAAAATGAAAATTCAAGGTGAATTCAAATTGAACTTAAAATTTGAGGTTAAAATATCCGAACTGGAAAAATTATCTCAGTTACCTATCCTATTAGTTCGGCTACTCTGGCCTTACATGTGAAATCCCTGTTAAATTCTCACTTTAGTGAATAACCCTGTATATTTCCCCATCTTCTAGAACAGACTTTAATAATGCTTATGTGATGTGCAGTCACAACCTGAGGAACCTAAGATCCAAAGCATGCATACATTATGCACTTCTTCAAATTTATTTTTAGTATATTATTATTTCTCTTTGTCTTGTTTTTTTGTTTCTTTTGTAATATGTATTTCACATGGAACTTTAATATTACAGGGTTCTAAAACACGTGCTAGTTATTTTATTTGCATAGGCAATCTTAACATTTGAATAAGTGTGTATAAGGCCATTCTTACAAAGATATGCATCACACAGGGTATGATTAATTTAAAACGAGCACCAATTAGATCATGTCATGTGTACATACAAGTCCATCTTTGTTTTCAGTTGTATCTTGCTGTGTTCTCAAATCAGTCATTTTTCAGGAATCACACACCAAATTTGCATTTGAGTTCTCCAGAGCCCACAAACATCTGCAAAGACAGAATAGTTATGTGTTTAGAGCTAAATATATGTACACAGGCAGCTAAGTCAATGTCCTTTCAGCAGCTGCTTATGAAGTCTAAACTCTGCAGTTCAGAAAATGTCTGGTTTTGTTGGACAAAAGTGATGACACACTTTCCCTTATGTGTCAGGGATTTCTGTAGCACTTGCTAAGTTATCAGAATTCTTATCAGAATATGAACATTAAAGACAGTTTTTGCATATAGAATTTTTTATGAGAAAAATAGGGGATGTACCGGTAATACTAAATATTCTATATTTTTTCAGTAATACAAACATGCAATAACACTTGCGATAAACACATTTTTACAATAGATAATCAATGGCTGTCTCACTTTGTAATATGCAAACTCATATGCAGTCATGCTGTGGAATAGTTAGATAACAGGAGTTTATTCACTAAAAATCTAATTGTAAGAAATCTAAATTCCAACCTTGGCCTTAAATTGCAAAGTAGCCCATACAAAAAATGTCCTTAGACTCTCAGTTGTAGTCACAACTTGGCATTTTCTAGCCCCAATAAATAACTCTGAATTGATTTATTTCATATTGGTGTATTCATTAATGTCATATATTATTTATATCAATGTAGATGTATCTTTTGTGTTATATGTACATGTTTTCAGAGGCACATGAAAAAATAATAATAATAATTTCAATTTAAAACAAAAATTGAGAGTCCAAATAAAAACAATGCATTATGAAAGAAAAAAAATCGAAACCAATGTGTCTCAGTGGGAAACTGAATCAAGAAATTAAAAATAAGAAAAGGGCATTCAAAGTCTTTAAATCGGACAAATCAGAGGCATCCTATAAAGATATAAGGAAGCCAATAATGTGTGCAAAAAGGCGATTAGATTAGCTAAACTTCAAAATGAAAAAATGATAGCCAAAGAGAGCAAAAGCAGCCCCAAAGCATTTTTAACACCTTAGTGACCAGACCGCTTTTCAATTTTCTTACCGTTTGGGACCAGGGCTGTTCTTACATTTCTGCTGTGTTTGTGTTTAGCTTACTCATTTACTGTACCCACACATATTATATAATGTACTTCTCGTCATTAAATGGTCTTTCTAAAGATACCCTTATTTTCATCATGTCATATAATTTACTATAAAGAAAATTATAAAATATGATGAAAAAATGTAAACAAACACACTATTTCCACGTTTGACTCCCATAATCTGTTACGCATCTACAACTGCCAAAAAACATCCGTGCTAAATAGTTTCTAAATTTTGTCCTGAGTTTAGAAATAGCCAATGTTAACATGTTCTTAGTTTTTTTGGAAAGTTATAGGGCAATAAGTACAAGTAGCACTTTGCTATTTCCAAACTATTTATTTTCAAAATTAACGAGTTACATTGTAACACTGATATCTTTCAGGAATCCCTGAATAACCCTCCACATGAATATATTTTTTAAAAGAAGACAACCTAGGGTATTATACTTGGGGTATTTTAACTCTTTTCATGCAACCATTTTACCACCAATCTATGCCAAATTTTTAAAAAGTGGCTAATAAAAAAGACCGAACACCATATTTGCAATACCTTGGGTTGTCTTCTTTTGCAAATGGTATGCCATCGTGGGGGTAATTCTCATTCCTGGGTTACCATCCGCTCTCAAAGGCAACATAATCAACCTGGCAAATTTCAATGTGAAAAAAACGGGCTTATATTTGACCCTGTAACTTTCAAAAACACTTTAAAACCTGTACATGGGAGGTACTGTTATACTCGGGAGACTTTGCTGAACACAAATATTAGTGTTTCAAAACAGTAAAACGTATCACAACAATGATATCCTCAGTGACAGTGCCATTTGTCTGTGAAAAATGCAAAAAATGTTACTTTCACTGACAATATCATCGCTGTGATATGTTTTACTGTTTTGAAACACTAATGTTTGTGTTCAGCAAAGATTCTCGAGTAAAACAGTACCCTACATTTACAGGTTTTAGGATGTCACGGAAAGGTACAGGGTTAAATAGCGTGCTAGCAAATACAATTTTCTGGACTTTCGGCTTGGGTTGTCAGGCAGGTCCCTTAAATTGCAATCAATAAAATTACTTAATTATGTAAAAATATTACATAAATTTGCAAGTAGAATTTAAATATATTCACATATTTATATATTTGAAGTCTACATATATATTTATGAAATTATTTATGTAATTATGTATTCGGACAAATGTATATTTTGTATTATTTTTATTTATTTATATATACATAGATATATATAATTTAATTCTAAGTGTATTTTGATATATATATATATATATATATATATATTAATATCAAAATACAGTTAGAATAAAATTACATATATATATATAATTTTTTAAAAATAATTTGTAATTATATTTAATTATATTATTTATTTTGTATTAATCATTATTTATATTTGATAATATATATATATATATAATATATAATTATTATATATATTATATATAAGTGTATATATAATTTTACTCTAAGTGTATTTTTATATTAATTTAATATATATTAATTAAAAAAAACATTTAGCATGACATTATATATAAGATATATATCTATATATATATATATATATACACGTATTATATATAGATATAATATATGCATATATAT